TAGTGTATCTAGAACGGTTTCAGATTATTGTCCAGAACATTGACAGACAATGTAGAACATTTTCAAGTCTATCTTAAACATTTTCTAGACAACCTAGAATATTTTCAGATAATCCAGAACGTTTTCTAAACTAACTACAATATTGTTTAGGTAATTTTAAATATCTAGAACATTTTTTATATTTTAGAGACTATCTAGAATATTTTGAGACTATCTAACACATTTTCAATCCGTCTAAAACATTCTCAAAATGTCTATAACAATTTTGGATTATTTAAAACATTTTCAGACAAACTAGACAAGACGAAAAAGATATTTGGAACAATTTTAGATAATCTAGAACGTTTTTCTAGATTCTTGAGACTATCTAGTACGTTCTCGGATCATTTAACGAATTTTCAAACCGTCTAGAAATTCTCAAAATGTCTATGACGATTTCGGATTATTTAAAACATTTTTAGACTATCTGAACATTTCCAGAAATTAAGAACATTTTTAGATGACCTAAGACCATTTCAGAATATCTAGAACATTTTCAGATTACCTAGAACATTTTAATATAATTTAGAATATTTTCAGACTATATAGAACATTTTTAAAATATATAGATTTTGTTTTTAATTATTTGAAACTTTTGATATCTAGACTATCTAGAACAATAACAGACTTTTGAGAACATTTTTGACTACTAAGAACATTTTCGGAATATCCAGAACAATTTCGGACTAACTAGACGTTATCAACTAACTTGTCCATTTTCTAGATTATTTGAACTATTTCAGACTATTTAGAAAATTATAATATCAATTTTATGGGGCAGCCTGTGAAATGTCTATCTATTTGCCGTGCGATCAGGCGTATTTTACATAAAAACAAGTAAGGCATGTTCGAGGATTCTGTTTTCATAACATTCTTCCTTGCTTTGTTATATGTAAAATACGCCTGATCGCACGGCAATTAAGTAGACATTTTCACAGTTTTCACTAACAATAAACAAGCATAAGAAAGCGTTTCCAGGACAGTAGCATCCTTTGCTGTGGCTTTTATTAAAATCAACTGCAATTTATTTCAGTACGTAGTATCAGCCCCGAATCAAGGCGAAGTGCTAACAGGAATGTTCTTCCCCTGGTGCAAAGATTGTGATAGCAAGGCTCTGTTGCAGGCAGTAGGAATTATTGGAGCTGTCATTATGCCTCACAATTTGTATTTGCATAGTGCCCTTGTAAAGGTACGAAAATAATAAACTAACTTAATTGACTAAACCGACACAGTAAATTTAATTTACTATTTTGTTATTTATTCATTTCTATTTTTTTCTAGTCGAGAGATGTCGACAGGAGAAAACCCGAGAAAGTGAGAGATGCTAACTACTATTTCTTTATCGAAGCAGCGATTGCACTATTTATATCTTTTATAATAAATGTGTTTGTAGTTGCTGTGTTTGCACATGGTTTATTCAAAACTACTAACCAAGATTGTAAGTATAAATTAATAAATCCTTATACATTATTATCTATATAAAACCAACTATTATTTATTTTTATTCCAGTTAGACACTTGCAAAAGTTCAGCCCCATATATCCGAGAGGAAGCCCTAATAGTCTTTAACGTAAGTTTTGGGTCAATTCTGCCGTAACAGAGCTCATAACATAACAAAAACTAAATTTTTTTATCTGTTTGCCGTGCGATCAGGCGTATTTTTATATATAAACAAGCAAGGAAGAATGTTATGATAACAAATCCTCGAACATGCCCCCGGACTTGTTTTTATGTAAAATACGCCTGAACGCACGGCAAATAGATACCATTATCAATTTTCCCTATGTTATGGCAGAATTTCCCTTTGAATTAGTAATATCATTCAAATGTATTTTATTTTAATATTATTTTTGCTTATACAGAATAATACCGAAATTGTAGAAGCCGATTTGTACAAAGGAGGCATTTATTTAGGCTGCGCCTTTGGGCTGCAGCCATGTACATTTGGGCTGTCGGAATATTGGCAGCCGGTCAAAGTTCTACAATGACTGGGACTTATGCTGGGCATTCGCCATGGAGGTGAGATAAATATATTTTTATAAGTGTTATTTTACCTTAAAATAAGTTACATGATTTTGTAATATAAAGACTTAATACGGATTCAAATTTAGCTATTGTTTCGATAAATACGTACTAGTTTTGTTTAAATTTTACAAATGCTTGCGGTGTTGTCCGAACCTAACACGACGCTTTCCCATACATTTTTACTTAGGCTCCGATACGCATGGTAAGCGTTACGTCAATATTTTTTGTTACAAATATACTTATTATTATATTATAATATTATTTAGGTACAAATGTACTTATTATATTTATTATATTATTTATATAAATGTACTTAATTAGTTTTATTGTTGGGTTCGTGAAGAATTAGGTGTAAGTGGCATTTTGCCTTAAGGCAAGTTGCATAAACTTCCCGATACGTGTGAATAATTGAATTAATGATTAATAATTGAGATTTAGCCATTTAGATACTGACGAGCCATTTGTAAATATTTTATTAACAAAAAAAGAACTCTAATGCAAGTATTATATTAATAGAAAAAGAACTCTACTGACGAGCTAATTTATAACAAATGTGAATGTAAAAAAAGAACTGTGCTAACGAGCAATATAATTATTTTAAGACGATTGAAATTAGTCAGAAAGAACCATACAGACAAGCAAACTTTGAACCTTAAACATAATATCTATATTAAAAGGACACTACTGACGAGCAAAATCAAATTAATTATTGATCTATAACAAAAAAGGGACTCTACTGACAAGCAAACTAAAATTCGATATATTAGAAAGATCGTTCAAAAACAAAAATAAACTGTACTGACGAGCAAATTAAAATTCATTATATTAGAAAAATCATTTCGATTCAAAAAAGGACTCTACTGAAGAGTAAACTAAAATTCGTTATTGATTTGGAACAAAAAGAGATTCTACTATCGAGAAAAATACAATTAATTATAAGAGTAAAAAATCATTTCAGTACAAAAAAGGACTCTACAAACTGTCAAACTAAAATTTGTTATTGACCTTAAGTAAAAAAGAAATCTACTGACAGGCAAACTAAAATTCATTACTGATCCAGAAAAAAGGACTCTACTGACGAACAAAATTAAATTAATTATTGATTCATAACAAAAAAGGACTGTACTGAAAAACAAACAAATTTCTTATTGATCTGGGTTAAAAAAGGACTCTACTGACGAGCGAACTAAAATTCATTATCGATTTTGAACAAAAAAAGGACTCTACTGACGAGCAAAACGAAATTAATTGCATATTACTTAAAAAAATCATTTCGAAACAAAAAAAGACTACTGATGAGTACAATTGATCTGAAATGAAAAAGGACTCTACTGAGGAACAAATTTAAATGTGTTATTTATATAATATTAGAAAAATAATTTCAAAACAAAAAAGGACTTTACTAATGAGTAAACTGAAATACGTTATCAATGAAAAAATAACTACTGATGAGCAAAATTAAATTCCTTACTGATCCTTAACTGAAAAGGGACTCTACTGACGAGCAAAATTTTTTTTTTTACTGATCTAAATCTTCATGTTAAAAAAATAATTTCGAAATATAAAAGTAAGTGAAGACAGAACTTACTATGAAACTGGATAAAAGAAATCTAAATATTATAAAAAACTAACCAATAACTAAATAAAGAAACAAACGTTAATAAATAAACTTAATAAATAAATAAACTAAACATAAATTACGTAAATAAAAAAACTGAATAAATACAAATCTAAGAAATAAACTAAAAAAATAAATTAAAAAAAAAACAAATATATACATAATTAGTACCTAAATAATTAGTACCTAACATTTAGCATACTAAAATAAGAGACAAAAAGGACTCTACTGACGAGCAAAATAAAATAATAGATAAAAGGAACTCTACTGACGAGCAAAATAAAATAAGAGATAAAAGGGACTCTATTGACGAGCAAACTAAAATAAGAGATAAATGGGACTCTACTGACGAGCAAAATAAAATAAGAGACAGAAGGGACTCTACTGACGAGCAAAATAAAATAAGAGACAAAAGGGACTCTACTGACGAGCAAAATAAAACTAGCTGTAAGTGGAATTCTGTCTTAAGGCAATTAGGGCATCGAGCCTCAAGGCAAATTGCAACATCCCGTACCGCAATTCAAAATTCGAGTAAATAAAAATAATCAATAAAAGTTGATAAATGATTTAAAACTTTTAATAGAATTTCGAACCATATTAAATCATTCTATCGTAAATCATTTATTTTGAAATATTTGGAAATTCTGAAACTTTTTTTCAAAGCAATCGTACTGCATAGAGACATATCGAAGCGCGTAAGCGCCGCGTAGCCTTCTAACGCGTAAACGTTGATACGGAACCCATAGAAATGTAAACAAAATTTATACTTATTGTTAAAATCTTTATAAAACATCGAATTATTTGATGTGCATATGTCTAATGATCATTTTTGACCGCCAAATGGCTCATTTTTTTACTTTTTCATCCATATCTCCAAAGTCGTTGGATCTGCCTTTCGTTGAATTAAAAAATGAATATATAACTAAAGAACTGATAAACTGAATAAAAGAACTAATTAAATGAAAAAAACTGATTTAATCACAATACTAATTAAATAAAAATCTGAATAAATACAAAAATTAATAAAAAAAATAAAGAAAGAAACTAATTAAATAAAAAACAACTAAAATAATAAAAATAAATAAATATAAAACTGAATAATCACAATACTAAATGAAGAAAAATGCAAAACATTAACTGAATTGAATAAAAAACAAACAACTAAATTAGCGAGTATAACTATAAGCAAATTGATTAAAAAAATATTAATATTGTATTACTCCTACTCTCTCAGCACACGCACGAACACAAACCCAAACTACAACCACATTCCCTTACAAACCGAATCAACTACTTACTTAATTAATTCCCATTTCAGGGTTTCCTCAACCTACAATGGTCTCGCTGGAAGAGAATTCTATTCACCCGAATGAATGCCATCATACCAACATTTCTGATGGCATTTTTCAATAGCATCGAAGACCTATCGGGTATGAACGACCTTCTGAATGCAGTGATGTCCTTACAATTACCCTTTGCGACCCTACCGACTATCGCCTTTACCAGCAATGCTGCTATCATGGGAGAATTTGTTAATGGAGCGTAAGGGATAAAATCATAATAATAATTATAATAATAATAATAATAATAATAATAATTAATATTAATAATAATAATGATAATAATGAATTATTTTTATTATTGATATATTTATGGGCCTATTCTCGGATACTAATCACGCTTATTTGGTACAAAATGTTATGAGAAGTGTAAAAGCTATTCTCGGTGATATGTTTTATGTTATATGGCAATACTACTTGTTTTGTTCAAAATGTTATAAGAAGTGTGATTGCTATTCTCGGTTATGACAACACTAAGAAGCAGTTCGAAATAATTGGTTACTCTTGTAAATAAAATAGGTGTGAAGTAGAACTAATGTGCCATTTGTGTCATTTGGAGGTTATTTTTACAAGGGGTAAATAAATGCTCATATATTAGTAAAATGATATTTAACAGAAAAAGAACTCTACTGACGAGCAAACTAATAACATTACATTAAATTATGAAAAGGGACTCTACTGACGAGCAAATTAGGAAGAATAATAAAAAAGAACTCTACTAGCGAGCAAATTGAAAGAACATTTAAATAAAAGGACTCTACTGGCGAGCAAGCTCAAATAGAGAAGGGACTCTACTGATAATCAAAATAAGAAAATGTAATTTAAAAAAAAGACTCTACTGACAAGCAAACTAAAAATGAAAGAAAAAAGGACTCTACTGACGAGCAAACTGAAATATATAAGAAATGGGGACTCTACTGACAAAGTAAGAGATAATAAAGATAGACTCTGCTGACGACCAAACTCGAAAATTTTGGAAAAATTTAATTTTACAAAAAAGAACTCTACTGACGAACAAAATAAAAGCAAATTGAGAAAGAAAATGAAAAAGGACTCTACTGATGAGCAAACTAAAGAAATAAATAAAAAGGGTCGCTACAAAGGTGTTCTATTGAAGAACAAAATGAAATTAAAACAAAATTGGACTCTGCTGACGAACAAACTGAAATAAATCAGAAAAGAGACTAAGGGAATTAAGAAAAGACTCTACTGACGTGCAAAATAAGAAAATGAAATGGAACTTTACTGACGAGCAAAATAGAAAGAGAATAAAAGAGACTCTACTGACGAGCAAAATAAAAGAATAAAAAGGGACTCTACTGACGAGCAAAATAAAAGAATAAAAAGGGACTCTACTGACGAGCAAAGTAATAGAAAAAAAGAGACACTACATATGAGTAAAGTAATGTAAAAAAAAACTACTGACAAACAAAAGACAAAAAGAGACTCTACTGACGAGCAAATTAAAATGAATTGGAATAAAACTCAACTGACCAGCAAGTTCAGGAACATTTAGTAGAATGCCATTTTGAAAATTAAAAAAATCTCTGACTCTACTGACGAGAAAATTCGGAAATTATTGGTGAAATTTGTAAATTTTTAAGAAAAAGAAAGGACTCTACTCATGAGCAAATTCGGAAAACTTGAAGAAAAAGAACGAACTCTACTAACGAGCAAAGTTGGAAATTATTATGAAGAATATTTTTAATAACAAAGAAAGAACTCTACTGACGAGCAGATTCAGAAATTATACTAAAAAATGTTATTTGAAGAAAAAGCAAGGACTCTACTGACAAACAAATTTGGAAAATTTGAAAAAATAGAATAGAATTCGGAAACTTTTAGTAATATGTCAGAAAATTCGGAAATTTGGAAATTTTTAAGAAAAAGAAAAGATTCTACTGACAAAGCAATCCTTGAACGTACTCTTATTTGTTCTATGTTATCCGAGAATAGGCCCATTCAATATAATATTGAAATAAATAAAATGACAAATTTATTTTTATATTAATTTTATATTACTTTTTTTGCAGGGTTAATTCAGTCGTTGCAATCCTTCTATCGATTTTAGTAATTGCAATCAATATTTATTTTGTGGTCGACCAGGTTAATAATGGAGACCTGACGGAAGGCTATTTAGCTCTTATAGGTTAGTAAATAATATTACTATTAATAAATATTAATTATTATCGCTTAGACAAACTTAACAAATCGAAAGTGTTTCCTACAAAGTTTGTTTTCAGTGCTCGAGATATTATTAAATTATAGTATTATATATACACCTAAGTCTGTTTTTACACGGTAGATTGGTTCCAGGAGAAGCCGTGTAAAAAAAAAACGTGTGAAAAAAGACATTGATCTTATACAAAAATGGGTGATTTGTTCCTAATCTCTAAAACCTATTAAAATTGGTGAAAAACAAGAATTTTTAAGAACAAGAATTAAATTAGTGCTATTCACATTTCTTTGACAAGTAAAATTTTTGTACGCGCTAAAGGGAATTCACTTAAATCTTTAAGCTAGTGTTTGCAAACTATCGATACATCGATGGGTTTTAGACTTTTTTCTTTCATAAATACTTTTTTGTGATATGAACATACTTCGCAAAAATTAAATTTGATAAAAAAAATCTTAGTACATAAAATTTCAAATCGTGCTAAATGGAATAAAATCGTGTAAAAAAATTAAAAATATTCCTTTTTCAAACCGTGTTATATCAAAACCGTGTACAAAAAGACCGTGTAAAAACAGATTTAGGTGTATATATTTATATTTATTTACATTTTTTTCAGTGATATTTGGAATACTGTATTTGTTATTCTGTTTGTACCTGGTGATACACATGTCTGCGAGTATGGGTTGCAGGAGTATAGCTAATTTATCGGTAAGATATTAAATATATATATATATATATATATATATATATATATATATGTTATATATTATATATTGATATATAAATAGTATATATTATATATATATATATATATATATATATATATATATATGTATATATATATAATTTTTTTCTATTTTTATTAGTTTGTGCAAAACTATGTGATGACGTCCGATGCTGATTCGAGCCCCATCGATAATCAAACGAGTTACTCGAGGTAAGTCTTACAAGTAAATATTAATACAGGGTTGTACTTAAAGTAGTTGGGTTAATGTCAAAAGTATATATACTTATATAATTGGGTGCTTATTTATACGAGATAAAATATATGTCTTAAGATGTAATAAATGAAACTTATGAACAAAATTTAATAATAAACGAGTTGTTTTTTATGAGTAGTTATTTCTATGAGTTAGTGCAAGTAGCATTAAAAACTAGTGGTGTATGGCATCGTGCCTTGAGGCAAATTGCTGGAACTTCCCGTACCGTAATGAAATATTCGAGAAATTTTAAACGTTTTCAAATATATTATTACAACAAATACTGTAATTGTTTCATTATTTTTTCTATCTCGTTTGTTATATTTAAGCAAACCAAATGTAAATCATAAATCAATTTATCTCCAGAACATTTCCAATAATCGTCATTTCATTTCGAATTCAATTTCAAAAAAATAGTTTAGTTGCATAATTTACACAAAATTGAAAAAGTGCAACAGTAACTAACCAGCAAACTTAATTTTATTATGAGGAACAAAAAGGACTCTACTGACAAGCAAACTAAATTTATGAGGATCTAAAAAGACTCTACTGACGAGCAAACTACATAAACAGAATAAAAAGGACTCGACTGATTGCAATGACAAATGAATCAAATTTCAAAGAAAATAGCAAAAAGAACTCTACTTATGATCAAACTGGAACAATGAAAAAATGGAATTCTATTGGAAATGAACAAAGTAATAATTTATCTATTTATCACTTATCGAAATATTGGTAAAATATAATTTAATACAAAAAAGAACTCTACTGACGAGCAAACTCGAAAATTATTTAAAAACATGTCATTTAATGTAAAAAAGGACTCTACTGACTATCTAGCTTTCACATCTTCCTATTTCTTTCTATTTTTTATAAAGGGAACTGAAATAAGAAAGAAAGAAACTCTACTGATGAGTAAACTTAAAAAAATAAAAAGGGACTCTACTGATGAGCAAACTGTAATAAGAGACAAAGGAGACTCTACTTACGAGAAAATTGAAGAGAAAAATAAAAAGTGACTCTACTGACAAGCAAATTGAAGCGGGAAATAAAAAAGGACTCTACTGAAGGCTAAAAACAATATAACAAAAGGGACTCTACTGAAAGCAAGCTAAAATAAAATATAAAAAGGACTCTACTGACGAGCAAACTAAAATAAGACACAAAATGAACTCTACTAAAACCAAAATAAATTATAAAAAGGACTCTACTTACGAGCAAACTAAAAGAAGAGACAAAACCTTTACTGACGAGCAAACTAAATATAGCAAAAGGAACTCTACTGACGAGGAAACTAAAAAAAGTAAAAACGGACTCTACTGACAAGCAAACTGAAATAAAAAGCAAAAGGGACTCTACTGACGAGCAAATTGAAGGGGAAAATAAAAAAGGACTCTACTGACGTGCAAACTAAAGAAAATGAAAAAGGACTCTACTGACTACATTTGTTTTTTTAGCAAGTTTTCTTAGCAAACTTTTATTAACGAAGAAATAGTTTATGTTTTCGATGTTTCATGTCACTCTGAATCGTGTTTCGATTCGTGTGACTAATTATTATTTGCACATTCAAGAAAAGTTCATGCAGTTCGCTTTAAGGCAAAATGCCACTTACAACTAAAATAAGTTATAGAGAATATAAAGAATAACTAGTTACAAAGACATATATTTTATCTCACCTTATCTTATCTAATTTTCTTTCCTGGTGTACTGTTATCTAAAGTATCTTTATCTAAATTATCTTATTCCTGGTATTTGTTTCAGTGCTAACGATTAAGAAAACACATCAATAAAACAAAAATATTGTAAATAATTAATTTAAAAAATAATTTAAGATGACGACAAGAACGAGGTGTATCTATTGTAAGTTTTTTTGGAAAAAAAATTATGCTTGAGTGTTAAATTATGCAAATTCTTGTTTTTTTCGTTTTCATTTTGCTAATTAATATAATTACGCCATGAAAACTGTCAAAATGTCTATCTATTTGCCGTGCGTTCAGGCGTATTTTACATAAAAACAAGTCCGGGGGCATGTTCGAGGATTCTCTTATCATACATTCTTTCTTGCTTGTTTGTATATAAAATGCGCCTGATCGCACAGCAATAAGATAGACTTTTTTACAGTTTGTTGCCATGACAACGCTATGTTATGAGGCAGAATTGCTCAATTTAATAGCTTGTGATTAATTAATGTTTTATTTATTTGATTTTCGATTTTTTTGTATTAGGGTTGTTAAGGTCTCTTTAGCTGCTTTGGGTGAACGTTAAAACGGCTGAAGCGATTTTTTTGGGTAAATTTTTTGGTGCTTTTAATAATTAATTTAAGGTAGTTTTGGTTGGAGCAAAAGCCATGGTTGTTAATAAATAGACATATATATATATATATATATATATATATATATATATATATATAAAATAATTACAATTTTTGTACCACTTGTGAATGTTCTTGAACAGATACAAAATGATTTATCGAAATTGGATAAACCGTTCAACGTTTTTCATATATAGCAATATCGTAAACAAATAGTAAAGAAATAAAATGGTCATTTTACAAAAAGGAGGACTCTACTGACGAGCAAATTCTGAAATTATTAGAAAAAAGCATATCATTTTAGATAAAGGGAACTCTAGTGGGGAAATAAGAGAAGGATGAGACTCTACTGACGAGCAAACTAAAAAAATAGGGAAAACAAATTAGTGACAAGCAAACTAAAATTAAAAGAAAAAGGGACTCTACTGACGAGCAAACTGAAATAAGAGACAAAAGAGACTCTACTGACGAGCAAACTAAAATAAAATGGAAAAGGGACTCTACTGACGAGTAAACTAAAGAAGTAAATAAAATGAACTCTACTGACGAGCAAACTAAAATAAGAGACAAAATGGAATCTGCTGACGAGCAAATTAAAATAAAAATTAAAGGGGACTCTACTGACGAGCAAATTAATTTTAAACGAAAAAAGGACTCTATTGAGGAGCAAACTGAAATAAATAGTAAAAGGGACTCTACTGACGAGCAAATTCGGAAATTATTAGTAAAATGTAAGTTAAGAAAAAAGAAAGAATTCTCCTGACGAGCAAATTCGTAAACTACTGGTAAAATGTGAAAAAAACTCTACTTTTTTTTACTGATATTTTCCAAAATTGCTTGTCGGTAGAGTTTTTTCTTTCTCGAATTCGTAAATAGTGAATAGTAAAATCTCAATTTCGACAAATTAAAGTAGACATTTTACAAAAAGGAGGATTCTACTGACAAATTTTGAAATTATTAGTAAAAAGAAAGGACTCTACTGACGAACAAACTGAAATAAAAAAGAGAAAAGGACTCTACTGACGAGCAAACTAAAAAAAACAAAAGAAAGGACCTCTACTGACGAGCAGACCAAAATAAAAAAAGAGAAAAGAACTCTACTGAGGAGCAGACTAAAATAAAAAAAAAGAAAAGAACTCTACTGAGGAGCAGATTAAAATAAAAAGGAGAAACGGACTCTACTGACGAGCAAACTAAAACAAAGTAAGAAAAGAAAGAACTCTACTGACGAGCAAATTTCAAAACAAACACTAACATATCTTTCTATAAAACAGAACTTTACTTTCTATAAAACAGAACTTTACTGACGAGCAAATTTGGAAATCATTAACAAAATTTCATTTAGAAGAAAAAAGGACTCTACTGACGACCAAATTATTGGCAAAATATAATTTAATATGAAAAAGGACTACCGAAGAGCAAAATTGGTAAATTATTAACAAAATTTCATTAGAGAAAAAAAGTAAGGACTCCACTGACGAGCAAACTAAAAGAATGAGAAAAGAACTCTACTGACGAGCAAACTAAATAAAAAAGGACTCTACTGACGAGCAAACTAAAAAAAAACAAAAGAAAGGACCTCTACTGACGAGCAGACCAAAATAAAAAAAGAGAAAAGAACTCTACTGAGGAGCAGACTAAAATAAAAAAAAAGAAAAGAACTCTACTGAGGAGCAGATTAAAATAAAAAGGAGAAACGGACTCTACTGACGAGCAAACTGAAATTAAAGTAAAAAGGAACTCTACTGACGAGCAAATTCCAAAACAAACACTAACAGATCTTTCTATAAAACAGAACTTTACTGACGAGCAAATTTGGAAATCATTAACAAAATTTCATTTAGAAGAAAAAAGGACTCTACTGACGACCAAATTATTGGCAAAATATAATTTAATATGAAAAAGGACTACCGAAGAGCAAAATTGGTAAATTATTAACAAAATTTCATTAGAGAAAAAAAGTAAGGACTCCACTGACGAGCAAACTAAAAGAATGAGAAAAGAACTCTACTGACGAGCAAACTAAATAAAAAAGGACTCTACTGACGAGCAAACTAAAAAAAACAAAAGAAAGGACCTCTACTGACGAGCAGACCAAAATAAAAAAAGAGAAAAGAACTCTACTGAAGAGCAGACTAAAATAAAAAAAGAGAAAAGAACTCTACTGAGGAGCAGATTAAAATAAAAAGGAGAAACGGACTCTACTGACGAGCAAACTGAAATTAAAGTAAAAGGGAACTCTACTGACGAGCAAATTTCAAAACAAACACTAACAGATCTTTCTATAAAACAGAACTTTACTGACGAGCAAATTTGGAAATCATTAACAAAATTTCATTTAGAAGAAAAAAGGACTCTACTGACGACCAAATTATTGGCAAAATATAATTTAATATGAAAAAGGACTACCGAAGAGCAAAATTGGTAAATTATTAACAAAATTTCATTAGAGAAAAAAAGTAAGGACTCCACTGACGCAAACTAAAAGAATGAAAAAGAAACTCTACTGACGAGCAAACTAAATAAAAAAGGACTCTACTGACGAGCAAACTAAAAAAAAACAAAAGAAAGGACCTCTACTGACGAGCAGACCAAAATAAAAAAAGAGAAAAGAACTCTACTGAGGAGCAGACTAAAATAAAAAAAAAGAAAAGAACTCTACTGAGGAGCAGATTAAAATAAAAAGGAGAAACGGACTCTACTGACGAGCAAACTGAAATTAAAGTAAAAAGGAACTCTACTGACGAGCAAATTCCAAAACAAACACTAACAGATCTTCTAAAAACAGAACTTTACTGACGAGCAAATTTGGAAATCATTAAACAAAATTTCTTTAGAAGAAAAAAGGACCTACTGACGACCAAATTATTGGCAAAATATAATTTAATATGAAAAAGGACTACCGAAGAGCAAAATTGGTAAATTATTAACAAAATTTCATTAGAGAAAAAAAGTAAGGACTCCACTGACGAGCAAACTAAAAGAATGAGAAAAGAACTCTACTGACGAGCAAACTAAATAAAAAAGGACTCTACTGACGAGCAAACTGAAATAAAAAAGGGAAAGAAACTCTACTGACGATAAATCTAAAGACTTGATTGTCCAAATAAACTCTACTGACGATTGAACTAAAATAAAAGGCGAAAAGGACTCTACTGACGAACGAACTGAAAGAAAAGGACTCTACTGACGAGCAAACTGAAAGAAAAGGACACTACTGACGAGCAAACTGAAATAAAAATGGGCTCTACTAATTAATATATCAGGCTTTCAATTTCAACTTTGTAAAAAAGCATCATCTTTCGAAATTAATGTTTTTCTCATTATACTATATATTACATACCTAAAAATTCTTTACATTTATAATTACACAATTTATAGTATAAAGGGCATAATACAGTACACCATATGATACTGATATACATAAAAAAAAATCGAAAATTTTCGAAAAAAATACACCTAGCACAAAAAACCACCTTTAGCTAACACTCCAACCAACGTTTATCAAACCTTCAAACCATTTATCATTTTTTACAACCATGGCCTTTGCTGTCGCACTTTATTTGTAGCATTTTCTTTATATCTATATTATATGTTATTATCGCTTATCTTATCTTATCTTGTTTTATCTTATGTGTGGTGTGTTACTTTACTTAATCTTTACTATTTGGTCTAATTCTATACTTCTATCTGTGCTAACAATTCTATTTCAGTTTAAAATCTACTAAAACACAAATCACGGAATTTCTATGACACCAAAATAATAAAAAACACAGAGAAGACTTAATTATAATAATTGTAAGTAAGTATTGCAGATATATATATATATATATATATATATATATATATATATATATATATATATATATATATATACGATATATATATGGGATTATATTATTAAATATAATTATATTCGAATATATATATATGGGATTATATTATTAAAATAAATATATTTTGCTTGAATTAATCTATTGAATGTTCCTGGGTTCACTTTTTTCTATTTGCACATTTTAGGTTTAAGTCTAGTTTTAGTCTAAGTCTAGTATAAATGGGCAAATCAAATTTAAGATTAAGTTTAGTTTCTATTTTAGTCAAAGTCTTCGTTTTGTTTATATTTTAATTACAATTTAAGTTCATGTCTAAACTAGTCAGAGATTTTATGAAATAGAAGTCTTAAAAGAAGTCCAAAAAAAAATTTGAAAAGTCTTAAACTAGCCTGAGATTTAGTACAAGTCTTAATAATAGCCCAAGATTTAGTCTCTGATTTATTGTAAGTCTTAAATCGAAGATTTAATCTAAGATTTTAGTCTCACAAGGACAACCTCATGTTTTTCCATCTCAGATTTCTATGAAACTTTGCATGATGTTAGAGTCGATAGTCAAATGAATCCCTCAAAATATTATAGGCCTATGATAAGTGGTTTAATTATAAAAAAATAATTAAAATTCAGAAAAATAGGTAGAGCGTATAGATTTTGTTATTAATTTGCTTGGATTATTATTATTTTCACTTCTTATAAATTTCTAGAAGGAGAAATCTATTCCCAAAACAAAAATTTTAAGTATTATTACTGCTTGTTATCATGCTGTCCTGTTGCAAGTCTAAGCTTTTACCGCAAAGATATAGCGAAATATATTTATGTAAAATATTTGACTTTTTTAACTTCCCGTTTTAAATGTTTTCGTCAGAAAATCCGAGTTGCTAATTTTATTTTTTCGCGACGTTTCAAGTCACTCTGAATCGTTTGATACTAAATTTTTAAGACCATGTTCATAAGTTGTTCGTCAGTATAGTCCTCTTTTTATATTCGAATCTACTCGTTTTCAAATGACGTTTTACCAATAATTTCTGAATTTGCTCGTCAGTACAGTTTTTTTTCCATTTATTTTTACATTGTTCATCAGTAGAGTTCCTTTCTTATTTTATTTAGTTTGCTCGTCAGCAAAGTCTCTTTTCCATTTTATCTTATTTCAGTTCTCTTTACATCTTGTTAGAGTTTGCTTGTCAGTAGAGTCCTTTTATATATTTCTTATTTTGGTTTGCTCGTCAGTAGAGTCCTTATTTCGCTTATTTTTAGTTTGCTCGTCGGTAAAGTCCCTTTTCCCTACAATTTCAGTTTGCTCAACAGCAGAGTCTCCTTATCTTTTATTTTTACTTTGCCCTTCAGTAGCGTCGTTTTTCCTTTCATTTTCAATTTGCTTGTCAGTAGAGTCCTTTTTGATTACTGCCAAATATTCAGTTTGCTTCTCAGTAGAGTTCAATTTTTATTTTCACATCGTGTTTGCTTGTCAGTAGAATTATTTTTTCCTTCATGTTCAGTTTGATTGACAATTGAATCTCTTCTTCTTGAATTTTTAGTTTGCTCATCAGTAGAGTTCCTTTATCTTTTATTTTTAGTTTGCTTGTCAAGAGAATCCATTTTTTCTATAATTTGAGTTTGCTCATCGGTAGAGTCTTTTTTCATCTTTTAGATCGTCATTTTCTCTTTTCGTGTCAAAATTTCAGTTTGCTTATAAGCAGAGTCCTTTTACGTCTTCTATGTCGTCAGTAGAGTCTTCTATTTTCCAGGTCGTCAGTAAAGTCTTTTTATTCTTCCTACCAAATATTCAGTTTTCTCGTCAGTAGAGTTCCTTTGTTATCCTAAAATCGTGTCTACTCGACAGTAGAGTACCTTTATTGTCTTTAAATCGTTTTTATCATCAGTAAATTTCTTTTTTCTTCTTTAATTCCTTGCTCGTCAGTAGAGTCCTTCATCGCATAATTTCAGTTTGCTCGTCAGTAAAGTCCATTTTTCTTTAATTTTTAATTTGCTCGTCAGTAGAGTCCCTTTTCCTTTCATTTTCAATTTTCTCGTTAGTAAACTCTTTTTTTATTATCTGAGTCGTTATTTAAATTCTTTTTCATCTTCCAGGTCGTCAGTAGAGTCGTTTTTCATGTTTCTGCCAAATTTTCAATTTGCTCGTCAGTAGAGACTCTTTATTTAAGAGTCTCCTGTTTGCTCGCCGGCATAGTCTTTTTTATTTCTGACAAATTTTCAGTTTGCCCGTCAGTAGAGTTCCTTTATTCTTTTTAAATCATGTTTGCTCGTCCGTAGAGTTTCTTCGCCTTCAAATCCCGTTTGCTAGTCAGTAGAGTCCCTTAATTCTCTTGAAATCGTGTTTGCTCGTCAGTAAGATTCTTTCTCCCTTCTTAAGTCTTGTTTACACGAAAACTAACCTCCAAATACCAAATAACATTAGTTAGACTTCACGCCTATTTTATTTACAAGCTCAACGCAGGACTACTAATTATTTTGAACTTCTTGAAGTTTTTAGTATTACCATATGAGATAAAACATGTAACCGAGAATAACTATTACCCTTACAATAACATCATGAACAAAAGTATCGGATAATAGGCTCATTAATATCATCCAATAGAATTTATAATTAAAATGACTAAAACTTAGAACTTTAGTTTTTATAATTAAACCACATAACATAGGCCTCTAATATTTCCTGGGTACCAATTTAGTCAATTCAAAACCTATTATATAAGTCTACGATTAAGTCCCGGACAAATATCATATCTGATAGAATTAGTAATAATAAAATCAATCTTAAATTAATGGGGCAGTTTTATTATAAAACGCTATTTTATGCTTGTTTATTGGTAATGAAAACTGTGAAAATGTCTATTTATTTGCCGTGCGATCAGGCGTATTTTACATATAAACAAAGCAAGGAAGAATGCTATAATAACAGAATTATCGAACATTCCCCCTTACTTGTTTTATGTAAAATACGCCTGATTACACAGCAAATAGATAAACATTTTTACAGCTTCAGAATTACCCTATTAATTTAAGATTAATTTTATTATTATATACATTGATTTTGTTATTAATAACATTTTATTATCATGACAAAGCTATAAATTTTAGTAATAATAATTAAATAAATTTATGTAATAATAATTATTAATATTTTACTTTTATTTTACAGTACGGGTACCTTGTCAGTCATCCAGGACTTGTCACAATTCAATCGAAGCACCGAAAATATTTTACATTCTTGAACAAAAGATTTATTTATAATTATTAGCAAAAATATTGAAATCTTTTATTTATATCTAATTAATAATTATTATTATTCAAACAACAAAGAATTTTTTTAAATCGAAAATAATTATCTATTTCTTTTACTGTGAGTTGAAAGAATTTAAGTCGAGTTTCTTCATTTTATAATTTCAAATAAATATTTTTGGTTAGAAGACTTTTTATGAAATTAGTAATTTTGTTTTCCAAAATGTAGAAGTTTTAGTTCATTGTAAAATTAAAATTAAAAAAAAAAAAGTTTTATTACTACTTCTCTCGACTACTTTATCTTTTGTGATTGTTGAAAATACGAGTTTTTAGTTTAGTTAAAAGTTTGTATTTTTACATATAAGACATAAATCTATTATGCCTTGTTTAAGTTTAGCTCATAACTTACATTTAGTTAATTCCAAAAGTTCCCAAATATCATTTCTAGAATAAATTATGTTGATGTAAATACTAAATAGAGTTGAAATTTGTAAAAAAAAATGTAATTAGAAAAAGAGACTTTGTAAAATTGGAAATATGTAGTTAATAAAAGTTTCGTACTTTGGTAAATTATTTGAATTTTGTTAAAAACAATCATAAATGTCTATGATTAATATATATATATATATATATATATATATATATATATATAAACACCGGGAAATTCTGCTTCATAAAATGATAACTATCATATGCTTGTTTCTTGTGAGAATGTCTATCTGTTTGCAGCGCGACCAGGCGTATTTTTTACAAAAAAACAAGTAAGGAGGCATGTTCGAGGATTTTGTTATCATAACATTTTTCCTTGCTTTATTTATGTGTAAAATACGCCTGATCGTACAGCAAATAGATAGGCATTTTCACTGTTT